GATTGGTTAGTTTGATTAAACTGACCAATCAGATTCGTTATTGAGTCCATTGAGGTAGGTGCTTGAGAACACCCTAAATCTTCATAAAAATTGCAAAATTATATAGTTTTAGCCTTTCTTCACTAATAAAATTACAAGTATAGCTAAAGTAACATCTTATTCAATTTCCGATACGCACGCTCAGATCCCACAAAAGTTATAAGGGAAGTGTCATTTATCACCTGATTTTTTTTGGAGGGGGGTCCCTACCAAAATATCATGTACGTATGTACACATACTTTCGGAATTTCAATTCATTTATCATGTGGGGGGGGGTAATATTTACTATTTAAAAAAATCAGGTGATAAATGACACTTCCCTAATTATCTTTTAATAGAACAGCCAATTAATTTAAATCGTCGTAGAATATTAAACATATGTTTGATTTTATTAGATGGTCGACCGACCATCTCAACGTGTTGTCGTTTTGCTGGTGTTATAAGAACGTTGATTATTGGACACACTTTGTATTTATAATGGCATTCTAACTATTTGAAAAAAAACTCATTTAATTAACAAAGATTCTGTGGTTCGCACCCGGATCTAATTCATGGTGGGTCTACTATTTTGGGAGATCTTGTATATGAACTTTTACGGTAGTAAGATCTCTCAGGAAAATTTTTTGTTAGTGCACAAAACGAAATAAGCGATTTTTGACAAAAGAGACGTTTGTTTTGAATTTCTTGATCGTGTTATACTAGATTACGATCTTTTATTGGTCATTAATCAAGAACTGGTGTAACACTAACGCACTTTATTGTTATAAAATGAATTCGTCTCTCACATTCATTATTATTTACATTTCTCCTCTAAAGAAACTTTGGAATATGTCAACGAACAGCTGTTGATTGGAACAATAGAAGTTCAAAGTACAGTCAACTCTCCATATTCTATTAAAAATGTTCATTAAGGACTTTTATGTGCAAAAATTTTTAAAAATTCAGTTCTTAAGAATTATTTGTTCAGTTCTCGCAGAGTTTATTAAGGGTTCAGTTTATTCAGGTTCAGTTTAGAGAGAGTTGACTACTGTATATACAATTCATCAGCGAGCGGCTGTTGATTGGGAATCAAGGCCACTCCAAATTGATTCTTCGTTTAACATAGTATTAAGTAGCCCATAAGAGTGGGGGTAAAGATGCTGGTAAAATAAAATTGGAATGGTGAAATAATTTCACTGACATCTCTAGAGAGGGCATAAAGAATACACAAATTAAAAAAAAAAATACAGCAATTCTATTGTCTATTGGTTATAAAAAAATATAAAAATATAAAAAAGCTAATACTGCAATTTGATTGGTTAATGCAATGTGTATTTTTTGAAAAATAGCTTTGATATATTTGTTTGTAATACGATAAACAAATTTTATGATTATTGTGCTTTGATAGATTTGTTTGTAATACAGTAATACGATAAACAAGTTTATGATTATTTTGGATAAGCTTTTCATACAGTGATAGGATTATTTACATGTGAATACATATAAGTTACGCTGGTAATTATGTCAATGATGATGATAATACTTCTTTCTCATTTTTTAAGTGTTTCATTCAAGAGAAAACATGCGATGGCCGTTGGTTTTTACGCAAAGATAACTTGAAAATGCAATGTATCATGAACGAAGAACTGGTATATATGAATAATTAGACTATTTTTGTGTTTGTGACTAATAAATAGTATAATTTAAAATTTATCATTCTTAAAGCTAAGAAACAACGATCTATATTAAAATTTTCATAAATTTAGCTAGAATGATCTTTAGTCAATCAAATATACAAATAAAAGTATTGATACCTTTTTTTTTTTTGTGAATACTCCGGAGTATCTGGTGTAACTACTGAGCCAAACCTAAAACATAAATTCGGGATGGGTTTGAACACAATCAAACTAACTTGCACTATTTAATGACCCTGTTCAGATAATTTCAGAATATAAAAATTTTGTGGCGGTTTAGAGAACCACTTTTGTATTTAATGAATTAATAGTAAATAAGAAAATTTTAATAAATATCAAAAAAAAAGTTGATTTTTAAGAAAAACATCTCGGTTAGTATAGTGGTTAGTATCCCCGCCTGTCATGAGACGGTCCGCGGGAGACCGGGGTTCAATTCCCCGACCGAGAGAAATTGTCTTTTTTTTTTTTTCTTTCTTTCCCGCGCACACGCAACTCCGAAACTTTTTATTGATAAACCATGAATTAAAAGTTTTAAAAGATCTTTATTATATAAACCGAATAACGTTAATAATATATCACTTGCAACTTATACGCGAGACGAAATGGATCCATATTCTTCTCGTCAGCCTACTAAACAGTTACCGCCTTCTGTTCCCGCAGCCCCTCAGACGTTTCGAGTGAAGGTTGGCAGATCTCCTAGTGAAGCACTTGCTTTGAAAAATTTTTTGGTCGTCAGCCCGAGAGATTTCCATCCTTCTGTTCGATATGTCATTGTTGAAGATCAGTTCGTTTTTACTATAAAGTATCTGTCAGAGATCGTATAGAACCTCTTAATTATGCATATTCGCATTCTGTCTATATCTGATCTGTTTAATTTAATGCATGCGGAAAACCATTGCATTTGGATTTTACTGAATATTTGTATAAGCAAATTGTTTTTCTGTAAGATAAAGGCAGAAATGAATATGAATCTTTAGAAATTACACTTCTTTTTTCAAAATTTAAATAATATTTAAATTCAGCATAAATTTTCATATAGAGCAGAGGAAAACCAACCTCCACGTCAAATCGGAACTTCAATGGTACATCGACGTTGGGCTTCTCTTTCTTTGGGTCAAGAGGTTTCTATTGCGCCATATGATCCTAGTTTCGAAAGTCCCAATATTTATCTAGGAAGATTGGATTTAGAAGTTAGTTTTTTGAGAAAAACTACAGAGATCAAAGAACATTTTGATACTGAAGAGATGTCAAAAATATGTTTTGAGGTAATTTTTTTTCTATTTTATTTTTATAATAATTTATTAATTCGTTAATTTAATTAATTTATATATTTTTCTTTCGAACTATAGGCATTCAATAACCAAATATTTAGTGTTAATCAGGTACTTCATTCTTCAATAATTTTTGTCGATTGAGTTTTGATAGACTTAGAATTTTGACAAATAATAATTATTTTAGCAAATTGTATTTGATTTTCATGGGATAAATCTTCAAATTGTTGTTAAAGGTTTAAGTGTAGTTGACATTGCAGATTTACAAAGAGGATTGGTTGGAGATGAGAATGCTAATTATCAGGGTGATTATATTATATATTAAGTAGTTTAATGTTAGCTATTAAATGAACGATTAACAAAGACTTTTCATATTGAAACATCTAGGGTCACGTACTGCTACGCGTGGTATTTTAATGCAACAAACTACAATTCATTGGTTAAAGGCTTCTGATTCGTCAATAAGGTTAAAAGGTCCTTCTGCAAAGTAAGTTTAATTCGTAAAATTGTTTATATTTATGTTCTATAACAATTTCCACTTAATTATAAAGTCTTTTAGGGTGACTACTGCCATTATTCAACCTAATTTTAAATTCGAAGATATGGGAATAGGTGGTCTAGACTCTGAATTTAGTGCTATCTTTCGACGAGCATTCGCTTCACGAATATTTCCACCTAGTTTAGTTGAAAAAATTGGCATTCAGCACGTAAAAGGTTTGTTAATTTTTGTTGTAAGCTAATGAGCAATATTGCTCACCTTTTAGTGAATTAATTTTATGTTAATTTAATTAGGTATTCTTTTGTTTGGACCGCCTGGAACGGGTAAAACGTTGATGGCACGACAAATCGGAAAAATGCTCAATGCTCGTGAACCAAAGATAGTTAGTGGTCCTGAAATATTAAATAAATATGTTGGTCAATCCGAAGAAAATATTCGTAAATTATTTGCAGAAGCTGAAAAAGAATACAAAGAGAAAGGTGATGAATCGGGCTTGCATATTATTATATTTGATGAAATAGATGCAATTTGCAAACAACGTGGTGGCAGAAGCGATTCAACTGGAGTGGGTGATAGTATAGTTAACCAGTTATTATCCAAGGTTTGTTGCATTTCGCAGTATTTTTTTGATGGTGATGAAGTTCGTGCTTTAACTCTTTTTTATACTTTATTCAGATGGACGGTGTAGAGCAGTTGAATAATATTCTCATAATCGGTATGACTAACAGACATGACCTTATTGATGAAGCGTTGTTACGTCCTGGTAAGTTTTAGGCTCTTAAAGTTAATTGATTATTATCATTTCTATGTCTCGTGATAAGTGATGTAATCAAAATTTTACGCTTCAAACAGGTCGGTTAGAAGTTCATATGGAAATTGGATTGCCAGATGAACGTGGTAGACTCCAAATCTTGAAAATTCATACGGCAAAGGTGGGTGCACATTCAATCTTAATAATTTCATGAGTGATTTGTATTATTAATCATATATTCATATTATCAATAAGAAAGATGAAACAAAATGATATAATGGATCCGGATGTTGATTTAGATGAACTTGCCAGCTTAACAAAAAACTTTAGTGGTGCAGAGATAAATGGACTTGTAAAGAGTGCTAGTTCATTTGCGTTTAATAGGCATGTTAAGGTGGGAACACTTGCTGGTGTAGCTACTGATATGAACGACATGAAGATCAATAAGGAGGACTTTTTATGTGCATTAGATGAAGTTCATCCCGCCTTTGGTGTGAATGAAGAAGAACTTCAACAATGTGTCCAAAATCAGATTATTCCATTTGCTTCTAATGTAGAAGTAAGAGAGTATAATGTTTCTATATTCCTACATCTATTATGCCTATGTGTATTTATTCTTTTTATATTTCTATATAGAGAATTTTATCAGATGGACAATTATTTATAGAACAAGTTCGAAAAAGTTCACGAACACCTCTTGTTAGTGTTCTCTTACATGGTATTTAATCATTTTTTGTTTATATTTGTACGGGCTTATGACATTAGCATCCAGTTAATTGACACTTTGTAATCCGTTTTAAAAGGTCCTCCTGGTAGTGGTAAAACGGCATTGGCAGCAACTATGGCAATGTCATCAGAATTCCCATTCATCAAATTAATTTCGCCCGAAACTATGGTAGGATATGCAGAATTGGCAAAAATAGCCATCATTAGCAAGGTTTGTTTTTGACTAATTTAATATTTCTGGTATTATTCAATTTTTTTGTTTAGTTTATTATTAAAGCGTTTAACCATTATTTAAAAGGTTTTCAATGACTCTTATAAGTCACCTTTAAGTGTAATTGTTATTGATAACATTGAGAGAATCCTTGGTATGTTTTTGTCAAATAGTTTAATCTATCAATATTAGATTGATCCCAATGATTTTCGTAGATATTTCCTGTGTATTTGGTTACGACGTAAAATAGTCTTGAAAATTATTAGGATCACTCTATTAAAGCATTAACAATGTTTAGCAATTCCCTGCATCTCATTAAATATTTAATTACACCTTTATTTTTTATAGATTGGGTTCCAATTGGCCCTCGATTTTCGAATTCTATCTTGCAGACATTATTGGTTTTGCTCAAGAAACGACCACCTAAAGTAATATGTCTAACATAACCGTTTTTTTTTTTTTTTTGTAATCGTACACGTTTAACTTGTGTACTATAGTATTGCATCTGAAAACTCAATATCTTTAATAATTTTTCTTAATGCAGGATCGTCGTCTTTTAATTCTAGCTACCACAAATGAAAAATCTGTTTTGGACGATATGAATATGTCTGATTGTTTTAATTCCGAGATTTATGTTCCAAATATTACTGAATTGAGTTCGGTTGATGTTGTTCTGAAAGAGTTAGCGTTGTTTAGCGACGAAGAGAGAAATCAGGCCCTTAATGCTTTGAAACAAGGTGGAGTAGAATTGAGAATTGGTATTAAAAAGCTTTTGACTATAATAGAGATGAGCCGTCAAGATGTAGATAAAGTCGATAAGTTTATTAGCACCATATTGAGTATGGCACCATACAAAGTAGAACCAAATACATTATATATGCCTGATAAGTCTGAAATTCCAGACCCGACGTCCCTATATAAACTTTATGAATGAAGTTGAGGACATGGTATGTATTAATTGTGTTTCACGGTTAATACCAGGAAGTATATATTTTTTTTTACTAATTTTAAATTGTCTTTTATAGATTCATTAGATTTCGATTAAAATTGATTTATTATTAAATTAAATTCGGTTGAAGCGTGGTGTATATTTGGTTTTCTAATACCTAGTATATATAAATTAAACCATTATATATATATATTATATATATATAGAGTATTTTTATAACATACCTTGAATACAGTAAATAGTTTAAACATATTAATCATAGAGATGTTTAGCAGATCCGAATTATAATTGTTAGACGGCCTATTTTCTTACCATGTCGAACCGTTTTCTATTATAGTTCCGACATTTTTAACAGTTTCTAAAATTCCTTATATTAGAATTTTTAATTGTCTAGTTTTGACATTCATTAATGAAACCTCTGGGTTTCGTAACCCAAATTGATTTCGAATCCGAGTTCCGATCTATTATGTATATGCTGCCAAATCCCCAAATCGACAAATTATTGCGGCAGCCGACATCAGAAACTTGTCGGTTCGGCTATTAGGCAATTTTTTCAGTTGACTTAGGAATAATGAAAATAGCTGTAAACACGGGTTCTTCCGATCGGATTTTAAAGAAATAGGATACAAATCGGGATGCCGATAGCTCTATAGGAGATCTTTATCGCCTATAGAGCTAATATGTATTGAATACCCGATTTGTATCCTATTTCCGCCAAATATCAGTTTCAAATCAGGTTCATATCGGGATTACATTGGTGCCCGATTTGTCTTCATTCGACCCGTGTATAAATAATGTGAAAATTACGTAATGCCCTAACAGCTGCTAGCTAATCCTAAAATTTTTATTGTTCAATCTTTTTGAAGTAGATTAGCGCAACCAGAGTAATCACTGAACCAAAATTAAAAAAAAAAATAATTGGCTATTGAGTACAGTACACGGTTTAAAAAATAATTTAATTGTCACCTTCAGTGATAATCACCCAGTAGTGCGATTAACCATATTTTAGAAATTCTAATCACTAATCACCAATCACGCGAACAAGATTACAGCGATTTGAAACAGATAATATTTGTAAAGATCAGATCCGACGAATAATATATCTGGATATTCAGGGAATACCGGAATATCCGAATATTCATTTCATCGAGTTGAATATCCGGATATATACGATCCAATGAATATTCGGTGATAATATATCGATATAGTTTATTTAAAATTCCATTAATTTTATTATAACTTATACTATATTGATTAAATAACAAGAATATCACCGAATATCATTGAATTTAATCGGTGAATGCTAACATATTCAGATATTCAATAGTAAAAAATAGTAAAACGAATGTGTATTCTGATATCTGGGATATTCCCTGAATATCCGGATATATCATTGATCGGATCGGGTTTCTAATTCAATATAATTTATCCGGATATTCATTCAATTTTTCGACCGAAACAAATGAATATCCGGATATTTTTGAAAAGATCAGACCTCTAGTCGACCTAAATTTATTGACGCGGTTATAAATAACTTGAGTGATAAAAGAATTCACTTAAGATACGTACCGTTATAAACCCACCGAGTATCGTCAAAATCAGGTACATACGTACGCACATACGTACTGTCTACGTATACCTGGTACGTATTGGTACGTAATTATTGATCAGCTTGAATATTATTCTGATTAATTTGGAACTCGAGTTTTCAAGAGAAATAAAAAAAAAACAATTCTAAAGATTTATTTATCTACTTCATTTATATATTTGTTTCGGAGTATTTATTTTAGTCATTGTAAATATTGAATTAGTTACATCTAAATTAAACTATTTTTAAAACGTATTTACACTCAAGTTCGACTTTTTAAAAGTAAGACACAATTTGAATTCAATATCCGGTTTAAAATCTTCAAAGTTAACATAATACTTTTTTTTCTTTTTTATTTAAAAAATATAGAGTTAACCCTCAGCTTTATGTATATTTATACATGGATGACGAAATTATTTTCATCCGGAGATTTTCTAAATTTAATAATATTGCTTGCCGAAATTAATTTCTGCTAACGGACTCTCTTCATTCGTTTTATTTTATTTTTTTTTATTTAAACGCGTTTTTTTTTTTAATTCGATGAATAAAATTTGATATAGATACTAGAAATTAAGAACGATTTTATTGGCGAAGTAAAATGCAATATATATATAACTGGATACAAACTGGATTTAAGAAAATATCAACCTGATATCCATCAAAATATATCCATTTTAGACAAACTAAATTATTTACGTTTTAGGCAGTCAAAGTAATTTTGCCAATTTCAGAACTTAGATTACGTCAATAGCAAAATAATTTCGCTATCCATGTGTAGTTTTATGAGTTTTAATTCGTGTATTATTAGTTAGACCTTATATTTAATATATATTTTCTTAAAGCTTTTTCGGCCTTTGTAATAAAAAAGTAATGAATTTTGTTATTATATTTAATATCAAATTTAAAGTATATAATAAAAACTTCTAGAAAAATGATAGTTTTTTTTTTTTTTAAGAACTGTTTAGAGAATTTCGTATAATAATTACTAAGAGAGTGCCGTTTATTACGTAATTTCTTTTGCCAGTCTTGAGTGATCAAATTGGCAAAGATCTATATACATCATATAGATGTAATAGACTACTAATCCTCCTCTCTTAAATTACTGTACGTAATAAACGGCACTCCTCTAACCATAATTATCGGTGAATAAATTTAACGTTAATTTTCATTTAACCCAAAAAATTCATTCATTTGAGAACGCCGCGAGGGAATTCAATCTCACGTGATAATATATCAGTTTCGGCTCAGGTTTTCAGCAATTCGTTTATGACTTTGATACAAGAAACATTAACTATAAATTGCTATGTATATTATACATTGTGCGTCATTTGCATCAGATTAAATCATTGTAATTCCACTAATACTTAAACTCCGCACTTAAATTCTGATCTGACGCAAATTTTAATCTGATGCACGTCATTTATTTAAATTAAAAATTGTTAATCGACTTTTTTAGTTGTTAAGGACTATTTTTGATATCGATAACTGATTTCGACTCAGTAACTTATCGATCGATTCAGTCATTGAAAAAATTTCAGGTGTCCAGAATTTATGAAAACAGCTATAATCAGTAAAATTCGGAAATTCTGGTCATTCCCCCGGTTTAAAACAAACGTTTTCGGAAACTCATTTTATCATTGATTAAAACAAATGATTATAATTTATTACAGTTTGCACCCTGCGATTTTCAAATCAATTATAATATTTAATTCATCGGGTGTGATTTCACATGACATTATGTCAAAATTCTCTAATTACTTCGTTTACCTTCGTTAAATGGATTTATAATTTTCATTCCAATTAAAAGCTGAAACGTGGCCTCTAAATTCTTTCTGATTTACCGAATACAATCAATGAAAATAGATCATGTGATCTTGCGACTTTCGCGTTACACGGGATTTTACGAACTAATTAGTCGATCGCGACAAATACTGAAATAAAATCCGCTTAAAAACAATACATTATTTTTTTTAAACTGTACTAGCTGTAATGTACACATTTAACTGTCCTACGAAAAAAATGCATTTTAAACCAATTAATTTTTAAAGCTGTTAAAGCCGGTACAGGAGATAATGTAGATCGAGTGATACAAGTCACACTGTAACCAGTTAGAGATTCTTGTACGACATATATATAAATTAATATAAACTATTGTAGAAAACATATACACACATATATACAGTATATATTTTTTTTTTCCCCAGAAAAAAACCAGATAGATAAATGATGTTGTCTTGGCCAAATTCTTCAAAAAGTCAAGGGAATCACTTTCAAATTGGAATAAACTCTTCAGACGGTGTTAACCATCTGGTTTGCCCTGTTTTTATTTAATTTAATTATCATTTTCAAACTTTGTATTTATCTACCGTTTTTTTTTTTTTTTCTTTTTTTTTTTTTTTTTTTTTTTTTTTTTTTTTTTTTTTTTTTTTTTAAAAATTTTATGTTATTCCTCGTTTCATATTTTTTTTC